AAAATCATTTAACTGACTCCTGAGCAGGAAGCCCTTAAAATGCTCATTTGAAACCAGAACATGCGAATGAATGTCAATAAGTAGGAATAAAACACACCAACACGAATCATCCAAAAAGCAAAAGTAAACAGGCACCATTCTCCACCGTGAGCCTTTCAGACGCTCAGCTGGGAAAAGACGGACAGGGATCTCGGCGGATGCCCGAAGGAGCAGCTCCTCCTCGGAGCCACAGGGAAGGCTTCTCCGGGGATGGGGTGGGGCTTCGGCAGCCGCCCCAAAGACTGTCTCCCCAGCCCGGAGACCTCCGTGCGGCTCCTCCAGAACTCTCCCCTGCCGGAGGTCTGTCCCCTTCCCTGCCCGGACTCACCTCCACGGCGGACGCACGAAAACCCTAAAGGAAATTCAGGCAATCAAAGAGAAAGAGGAAACTCCTTTGCCGGCAGCAGAGACGATGCCCCGTTTGGTGCTGGACTCCTTCGTGCTCCCAGACAGCCACAACGGCCACATTTCTGGGAGGGCACAGCTGCTCCCCCGCCCCAATCTCTCTCTCTCTCTCTCTCTCCAGGGTCCTTCAAAGGAACAGCCTCAGCCGTCCGCCCGAGCCCCAGGATGCTCCCCAGCAGCTCTCAACTTCATGCTCTCTTCGGTGCTGGACTTCAGGAGGAGGAGGAGGCGACCTCGCTTGCTGCCCAGAGCAGCTCCCCCCTCCCCCACCTGCCCACCCGCCCGGGAACAAATTAATCCCTCCGTCTTATTAGCTGTTGCATGGCAAGAACTGCCGAGCCGAGCCAAGGCAGCTCCTCCGGAAAGAAGGGGGCCGGTGGGCTGGCAGAGCAGCAGGAGGCGGGAGCTGGCAGAGCAGCGCCCCCTCTGGCCGGACTCTCCGGCACTTGCTCTCCATGCTCTGAGGAGGGGGCTGGGGCCGACTGCCATTGCACAATTGGGGGAGGGGAGATCTGCTTTCCCACCCAGATTCTTCCGGCCCTAGCAGGGGATTTGTGTCTCCTCGGCTGGAGGAGAATCAGAGGTGGACTCTGCCTTCCAAGGGCCCCTCCCCTGCCTGGGTTCAGCCCACTGGACTCCCCATCGCAGCTTCTCCTGTGGCCCTGGGCTCTTCCAGAGGGGCCACCCATTGCTGCATCAGAGGATTGGAAGTCCTGGGAGGGGCTCTGGCTATCATCTTGACTGCATCGGCCACCCTCATTCGGAAGCCACCTCCAGAGCTCCAGAGAGCCAAAAGATGAGTGGGAACAAAGCCAGTCCACAGCCTGGCATGTCTTGACCCCTCACCCACCCTCCACCCTGGCCTGCTTCTGAGAGATTCTGCCCTGGGGGTGGGGGGGTCCTCAGGGACCTTCTCGGCTCTCCTGGCCTCCTCCCGTGTTAAGGGCTCTTCTTTGCTCCTCGTCAGCATTCCTTTCCCGGCCAAGAAATCCACCTTCTGGGAAGGCAGCTAGGGGCTCTCTGGCTCCTCTCCGGTTGGCACCAGGACTGGTGGGCATCATCCACTCTTACACAAGACCCGTCATCCGTAAATGGGAAGACGTAGGTGGGTGTTGGGGGTGCTACATGGCACAGCGTGAATGCCCCCCAATGCCCGAGGCGAGCAGAAACCAGGGAAAGAAAAACCTCATAGAACTGCAAAGATAAACTGCCCACCCCCACCCCCACCCCCACCCCCCCGGACTGAGGAAGCAGCTCCTGGCAAAGGAGGCTCATTCAGCCCGCTGGGCCAGAAATGGTCAGTCCCACGGACGCTGTGGGGCCGGGATGGGACTCCTGGGAAAGCAACCGTGGCCGAGCGGCTGAGAGCTCACAGAGGGGACAAGAGAAGGGCAGAGTCCTCAGGAAAGCAATCCAGAACAAAACTGCCGGGTTTCTCAGCCTGGGCTGCCTTAAGAGGTGTGGACTTCAACCCCCAGAATTCCCCAGCCAGCAGGCCTGCAACGGAGCAAAAGAAGACGGTAACTGGGCTGCCTGTGCACTGCAGAGGATTAGGCCAGAGGAAGCTCGCGGTGATTCAGCCACGCGCTCTGTGGCGCAGGGCTGCCTGCTCACCTCTCCTCCCATCAGCTCCAATCGTTCCTTCCTCGCCAGACTGAAGCCTTGTGGGAACAGGATGACGAACAAGTGGGATGCGGGGGGGCCGGGGGGGGGTTGTGTGACAAGCACCAAACCCCACAACCGTTCAAGGGGGAGAGAGGCCCCTTCGCTGCCTGGCTGGACCGGCTCTTTTGTGTCCTTGCAAACTGTTCTCTGCCCACAAGTTCCCGGATGGGCTGCAGGAGGCAGCTTCGAATGCAGGCAGGTCTTGAGGCCTCTTCTCTCCGGCCGTTGCACGATGGACCAGAGGCCTTTCTTCTGCTCCAGGGGAACCCTGGCCGTGTTAATGATCTCACACTCTTCTCTCGGAGCAATCATTGCTCCTTCTCTTCTCTACGAAATCCTCTGACCTTCCCGTTTTCTCTTCAGAGTAGCCGCGTGCATCATGTGCAGCCCCTGATTGCCCCCACCTTCCTGGGGGCAGGCTGGGCACATCTCCATTGCAAAGTTATTATCCCTTTGCTTAGGATCTGAATGCTGGCTCTGGCCAAGAGACGCCCAAGAGCTCCCCCCTTTAGGGCACCACGAAGGTCCCCCAGGAAGCTTGCAAATCTGAACTCGCTCTTTTCTGAGCACCAAAGCCCAGTTGGGACTGTCCTTGTGCATAATCTCCCCCAAATTAGTTTGATATGTATGTATGTAGGTAGGTTCTGGTTGCATATCAGTTTGCACATCTGATCACTGCCCAGAGTTATGTACTTAAGATGAGTACAGACATACATACATACAGTACATACACCTGAGCAGGAACAGGAACAGCCTTCCTGGAGGGGAAAATGCCCTCTGCTGCTCCTCCTTCCCAATTGCATCCCTTGGTGATGGAACGTGTGTGTGTGTGTGTGTGTGTGTGTGTGTGTGTGTGTATGTGTGTAAGCGGGGAGGGGGGAAACCACAGGGCACAGTCATGCTAATTACCACTTTTCTACCTTGGTTACTGGATGAACCCAGTTCGGGAGAACCAGCGATAAAGAAATATTAGATCAGCGCAATGCACAAATCCATTTAATGTCACTTGACCATGCAAGAAAGGGGAGTCTGGTGCAACTGACAGCCTTAAATTAATTGCCCATCTTGGGGAACATTAAAAGCAAAATGTCAAACCAGGAATGATTAAAGGTATGGAAGAGCAGAAGGCCTGACTCCTCCTTTGGAGCCTGGACAGCAAACCCCTCAGCCCTGGACAGTCTCTGCCCAGGCCTCTGATGGACGGGGGATCCCCAGACTGTCTGGGGTGAGCAGATGGGGGGGGGAATGGGAGACGAGGAAGAACCCGGTGAAAGGAGAGGGAGCTGATTTGACCCTGATTCTGAGAGAATTAATAGGGGCCAGTGGGAGGATGGAGAAAGAAGGTCCGATGGACGAAGCAGAATCGAAACACACCCAAGAAACTCATCAATACACACCCACACGGGTCCTTTCTTCCAAGCAAGAGCCCACCAGATGTTAGCAGTCACCAGGGCCCTCCAAAGGCTACCAAGCCCAAGACAGCCAGAGTTACAACCGGGGGTGGGGGGTGGGGGGCTGCTGCACAATTCCCATCGCAGCGCATTTTCTTCACTTTGGGGCCTCTTCTGCCAGCTCAACAGCCTTAGACGGAAGAAGGTGGGTGGGGGCTTCTCTCACCCCCCCCATCCTGGACCCCCCCCAACTACCAGAGCGTTTCCTTTTGGCGTAGGGGAGATCAACACCATTCCTCGCAGTGAACAGATTTAATTTGCGGCATGAATTTGCAGAAAAAGCTGATCCCAAACCATGCAAAGTCCAGGTGAGCACGGAAACTTCTCACCTGGTTTCTGAGAAGAATAAAAGGAAGCTATAGTCACGTTGGCCTAAATATTAAAACGCAGGGGGGAGGGCCTTCCTGGATCTCCCCCCCCCCAGCCTTTTCTCAACACCGGAAGGTTTGTGCTCGAGTGCTGCGTCACTAACAGGGACCGTTGCGCAACCTTTCGCCTTGGCCCTTATCAAGAGTCAGAGGAAGCGGCAGCAGGGCTGCCCCTCTCAGGAGAGGCTCTTTTCTTGACAAGAAATCATAAAGTGCCTGGTGTGGGACTAGAAGTCAAATATGCACGGAAGAAGCAATGCCACTACAAAGCCCAGCAGGCACAACTGGGATCTCTGCCATGCCCAGGTTTGACCTCTCAGGTCCAGCCTCCTGCCCGCTCAGGCCAGAGAGAAGCGTCTGCTCAGGATCCCCCCCATCAGCTGGCCAGATTCAGCAGTGCCCCCATATGATGCCCCGACCCTCTGCATCCCCTCCTTCTCAGCGACACCACTTGAAGAGGCCTGACCAGCCCATGAAGCCCCCTCTCAAGGCAGAAGCGCTTCTCTGCTTCCCCACGAAAGAGATCGACGCAGAACGAAACAACGAGTGGGATCGACTCAAGCAAAACGATTCCTCTCCCAAAACTAGGCGGAAGGGCAAGTCTTTCGTGAGCCCCTCGGGGTCCTGGGCCTTTAAATGTAATCCTCTGTACATTATTTAAACCACAAATTTTTCCAAAGTCGGCACTGACAAAACTCGCAAGGTCTTGCTGTGAAAGCTTTTTGTGCCGCGCAGTTTTACAAAGGATTTGCATTTCCCAACCTAGGAAGATGCTCCTAGCTCAAGAGGTGGCCGGCTTGTTTCAGGGGGCGGATGAAGTGCGCCGGGCTTCGAGCAACAGACCCCCATTGTTGATCTGCGTGCCACAGAAGCACCACGTGAGGAAACCTGGCCACAGTCCACAGCAAACTTTTCAGAAATCCCAGAGATTGATGTTTAAACTACGGATGTCGAATCGCAGCCACTTTAAGGCTTCTGGACTTCAACTCCCAGAATTTCCCAGCCAGCACAAGGGAGTTGAAGTCCAGAAGCCTTAAAGTGACAGACACCCCTGGCCTAAACAAAACCAGCACTTCTTTTGATTTGGTGCCCCAAAGCACACAGGTTCTGTCTGCATACCTGAGACCCCCTGGGGCGCCCCGAAACACAGATTCCACTACCTGTGGTAGGGGTGGGAAAGGCAGGAGTCCCCTCCGAGGTCTCGATCCTTCACACAGGCTGGGCATCCCCCTTTGGCCTCAGCCGCTGAAGGTTGCCCAGTTTCTGGAGCCCTGGAGTGGTTTCTTGGACCACTGAGAAACCCTTCAAAGAAAGACACCCCCCCACCACCTCTTCATGCAAAGAAATGGAAGGAAGAAAAAATTGGCTCTACCTCCTGGAACTGGAGCCGGACTTTGGTGATAGCTCGAATCCAACGGGCTCTTGCCGGAGCAAAAAGCGGCGACTCATTTTCATCCAGGAGGCTGGCAAGAAACAAAGAACACAAAAAGAATAACGTGAAATAGAGTATTTTCTTTTAACTGAGAAAACTGGAATTAGAGGGATTCTCACTTCCATTGCTGCATATTTACACTGTTGGCGCAGCATAAACTGTAGAAATATATTGATTACAGTGATTGGTCAATGGGCCTGGTGGCTCAGCAGACTAAAAAGCATTAACACCAGCTGTCTGCAATTACTGTAAGTTCGAATCTCACCAGGCTCAAGGTTGACTCAGCCTTCCATCCTTTCTAAGGTGGGTAAAATGAGGACCCAGTTTGTGGGGGCAATAAGCTGACTTTGTATAAATATACAAAAGGATGAAGGCTATTGCTTCACGCCTTGTAAGCCGCCCTGAGTCTCCGGAGAAGGGCGGCATATAAATCAAATTAAAAAAAAAAAAAAAGGAAGGAAGGAAGGAAGGAAGGAAGGAAGGAAGGAAGGAAGGAAGGAAGGAAGAAAGAAAGAAAGAAAGAAAGAAAGAAAGAAAGAAAGAAAGAAAGAAAGAAAGAAAGAAAGAAAGAAAGAAAAAAAAGCTGACTTTGTATAAATATACAAAAGGATGAAGGCTATTGCTTCACGCCTTGTAAGCCGCCCTGAGTCTCCGAGAAGGGCAGCACATAAATCAAATTTTTTTTAAAAAATGGGCCAAAGATGCCCCTGGTTCCAGGCTCCACTCAACGGTTGGGTTTTAACTTTAAAGACCCTGACAGCAGCTGGGGGTCCTGTTGGGCAGCCAACTTCTCTGTTTGATGAGATGGCTGGGAGAGCCCCTCCTGCTCAACGTTCGGCCTGGGTGGACTGAGGGCAAAAGGCTCCCCGAGGGAGAAGCCCTTCCCTCCAGGACCCCTCTGGCTTTAGGGTCTGAGCAAAAGAGCAAGGCACTGCTCCTTCAACCAGAATTTAAATGGGACAGGTTTTACAGCCATTTTCTCTGCCGTGGCTCCTGCCCTCTGGAACACCTGTCTCCCGAGGAGAGATGGGCTCCTGCCCTCCAGACTCTTCCTAAGAGCCTGAGGGCCCAGGTGGCTTGGGGTACCTATGGGGGCCTTTCACACTGGAGGTGGTTGGCTAATTAAACTCTAGCCCCACCTCCCCACCCCCGACCGGTTCCCTCCTCTTCCCCTCCTGTGTTAATGATTTTATCTGCGGTGTTATTTTACAACTGACGATTTAAATGGTTTTTTAAAAATGTTTTTATGTTGTCAAGCACCCAGAGTGGTTGGATACGAGATGGGTGGCTAATACTTTAAGGGAGTGAGATGGGGGGGGGGCTTGCGCAGTGGGCCCCAATGAAGAGGAGGAAGGACACTTTCTGGATGTTTCTCTAGAGGTAACTGTGGATTTCTGAAGGGCCGTCAGACGGGGGAGGGAGCAGAATTCTCCCGGATTATCCCACAAGGGCAGGGCCACCCCTAAACCTGGCCAGGCGAGGTAGGCAATTGCGGGAAGTCCTGGGAGAGAAACTATCCGAGGTAATCTAGGATTCTGCCCTTCTAACTGGAGAGGGACAGATGACCTCCCTGGCCGGGCGATGGGATCCTGGGAAGCCACGGAGGGGGAGCTCCTCAGAGGGGGGAAGGAAAGCCCAAGGGACTCGTTTGTAAGCTGCCTCTCTCAACAGAAGGCGACTCTGGGTGGCTTACAAACAGCAAAAGGATAAATATAGAAATGACTAAAATTAATATTACTATGCTATATAAAAACTGGAATTAAGGAGATGGGGGCCCACGGGGATGAGATCAACCGGTTCCAGCGATGAGGAAGACCCCCCCACCCCCCCCCCAAACCAGGTGTCCAGGTGTTCCGTGGGGCCAGGACCACAGCAGAAAAGGCCCCTCTCCTGGACACCCCCCTCCAGCCAAAATTCCTTGGCCCACGAGGTCCACAGCAGGCCCCCTGCATTGGAGGCAGGCTAATCCCATGGAGCAAGACACCCCAGACCCATGGCACAGAGTTTCCTACCTCCCTGGTGGTTCCGGAGCAGCTTTGGGGGTGTCCTCTCCCTCTCCTGGGAACTGAGAGCGCCCACCTTCCTCAGCCTCCTCTTCTTCTCCTTCACGGAGTGCTTCCTGGGACTCGGCCGGCTCGCTCAGGGGCTCCTGGACATCCGGCAGGGTCAGAGCCACAGACCCTGCTTCTGGGAGTTCCTCCTCGTGCTCCGAGCCGGGGGGGCTGCCCTGCTCTGGCTCGCTCAGCTGAGAGCTGCCCGGACTGATGTTACAGGAGGAACCAAACTTGCTACTGCTGGCAGGACTGTTGGGGGGGGGGGAAGGGGAGAGAGAAAGAACAGGTGAGTGTGCAGAACTCGGTGAGCCCAAAGGGTGGGCAGCCAAGGAATGGAGAAGGGGTGGGGGGGACGAGCAGGGCTGGCTACAAAAAAAGGGGGGTGGGCAATCAGGGACTTGCTGGAGGATAAGATCACTCTTCCAGACCCATCTGGCAGCTCCTGAGGGATCCTCCATCCCCATCCGGTGGAGAGTCTGCAGAGATTCCCAATTCCCGGACATCAGATAAATGTCGAAGCTTCGAGCGTCTCCCTCAGAGGCTGCCTCTGACCTGCGCCCCAGAAATTGGGGTCTCCCGTCTCCACCACCCAAGCAGTCCAGGCCCCCTCCCCCTATGCTGTATTGCTGACTCAGCAGGAGACTACCTCCCCCTCCCCCTGAGCCTTTCTGCTCCCCCCCCTGCAGACCAGCTCAGATCAGGAGCTCCTGAGAGGATTCCCGGGGCTTCCTTCACCCCCAACTGGAAGAAGCAATCGCCAGTCCCAGGTATTAAAATGGACAATGGTGGGGGTAGGGTGGGGTTGGAAGCTGGGCACCATGGTGTTTGGAGTAGAATGTCTACTAATCTCCATTTTTTCCAGCCTAGCAGTCTGGAAAAGACACGGCTACAGCTAGCAAGGGAAGAGAGGGAAGTGGAGGAGGGGAAGAGAACAGACAAGGGGGCTGCACAGGACCCAAGCACTGCAGGGCCGACCTTGGGAGACCCACAGGATTCGCCCACCCAGCTACGGGAGGCCGAAAGCTGCTTGTGGGCAGAAACTGGATGCCCAGACCAGCAGCATCGCTGGCAGATCTGGGTGGGCCCAGAAGTGATCAACTCATACCCCTGAACCCCTCTGGAAAGAGCGGAGACCCCTGGGATGCCCGGCCCGGTCCCCCCATAACAAGGCCTCAGGCAGCCACTGCTCAGCCATGTTGGCCTCCCCCAATTGGATACAACTGGGCAGCCATGAGGAAAAGCAGCATGGATGGCAGCTGGGATGGTGGTGGTGGGGGATCCCAAGAACAGCCGTTGCGCCTCCCAATCCACCTGTTGAGTATTTTGCATTCCCCCATTCAGCCCTTTGCAGAAGAGCAGAGCTGTCTCCCATGGTAGGATTTTCGTAGGGCCTCTCCTGGCGAGTGGGAGCCGTGGGCTGTTCTCAGAACCCACCCACCCCCCTCTCAGGTCTGCGAAGGCTTACAAAATCCACGTTCAAAGCTGCTCACCGACACACAAAGACGTGACACACAAAGGGGGAGGCCAAAGCGAAGGAAAAGGAGGGAGGGAGGGAGAGGGACAAGTCGGGGCTCAAGGTCACCCGAGTCCTCCATCAGGGACCGTACAGCCGCAAGGGATGGACCAGAGGCCGCTGACCATGGCTCTTGCCTCATAAATGGACCAGCCGCCTCCATTTATGGGCTGCATTTGCTACTGGCCTGTGCTGGAGAGGGGGTCGTGGGCTACTCTCCTCCACCAGCAGTAGCCCAGCAACATGGGGCCCCTCCTCTGGGCATGCGATGCCATCCTTCTGCTCTGCTTGACCAGGAACGGAGGCCGTGTCTCCTGCTTCTTCTCCTTCCAGGGTCGGGGCAGGAGGGCCTCTGGGAACAGCCCTCAGGCCATCTTCCTGCTCTTGACCCTCAACTTCCAGGCCTTGGCCAGGCTCAACCTCAGCAGGAACACTTCTGGCCTCTAAGAACTTCTCGCCCAAGCTGTCCATCTCCACGGATAGAAGGCTGGACTCGGGGACTGGATGCCCCATCGATGCCTGCTCAGGGCCGCACGAGGGCTGTGGTGCACTGAGCGCCAGATTGGAGGGACCATCTGACGGGGCTTCCAGCTTGGAGGAAGGTTTCAGTGGCGCCTCCGGTTCCTTCTTCATCTCTTTTTCCTTCGGGCCTTTCTGCCAAGGCAGGGAGAAGTCCAGCTTCCTCCCAAAAACCGTCTCTTGGAGGCTCCCGCTTTTCTCCACCTTCTCATCGCTTCCTCCACGAAACAGAACGGAAGAGACGCTGCTCAAGCTGGACCCGAGACCTGGCTCAGCACCGGTCTTGCCAGCTGCAGGTGAGAAGAAGGAGCCCATCGGTTTGGTGCTGCCGGTTGAAGACCCAAAGCCGAATTTGGGCCAAGGGGGCTTGCTTAACATTTCAAATACAGACGAGGCGCTGAGGGCCTCTGCAGCAGGAGAACTGGCAGGCCCGTTACCTGAGGTGCTCCCCAAGGCCTCAACGTCCGGAGGCTTCTCACTAGTGGCTGAAACCTCCTTCTCCTCAAAGGGGACACGTTTCGTGTCATGGACACTGTCCGCATCTTCATGGTGCAAATCAGGGGTCTCGTTCAGAACCATTCCGGCTTCCACTCCTAGGCTCTCACCTCCGTTTGGTGGACAAATATCAACCTCTTCCAATGTCTCTGCTTTGATCTCCTCCAGCATCGCAGCGGATTCTGCCACAACCACCTGGTTGAGATCTTGACCGCACATATCGGCATCCCTCATTTCATCTGAAGTTAGGAAGTCCACTTGCCCCTCTTCAGGGACTTGGCTCTTCTCTGAGATCAAGGTATCCAGAGCGTTTGGCTCAGGCTCTTGGCAAATGTCTGGCTTTTGGTTGGCTTCCATTTCCAGGTCCATTTGGAGAGTTTCTCCTGCCAAGGTCAACAGAGCATCTTCCTTCAAGATGCTTCTGGCCTTGGTCTCCAGCAGCACACCTCCCAGGCTCTCGACTTGCTGTTTCCCTGAGCTGCTTGCTTCTGAGCCCTCCTCTCTACCTGCCTTGCTTTCTTGGGTGCTGAGCGGCTCCTTCCCTGGAACTGAGCCTGTAGCTTCTTTCATGCCAGAGTCCACATGGGCAGGTTTTGAGGGCATTGAAGGAGGCTGTTCCGCTGCTCCTTTGGAGAAGCCAAAGAGGCCACCTGTGAATGTTGAGGGAGGCCCACCTCCCTGAAATGCGCTGCCAAAAAAGGAGGCACTCTTCTTCTGCACACCGGGGGCATCTGGAGCATGGAGTGGGCTGCCCAAAAAGTCAGAGAAAGTTTTAGTGGGTTTGATTTTGGTGAAAAAGCTTGAAAACTTCTCCACTGAGGAATCTAGAACAGACTTGTTGCTTGTAGCTTCTTCAGGCATCTTCAGCCTATCCAGCTCCCCCAGTGGGACCTTGGGGAGAGGCTCCTGGCCCTGAGCCTGCTGGGCTCCAGCATGGGAAGAAAGGCCAAGTCCTTGCAGGTGCTCCGGCACCACCTCCTGGCCTGACTCTGGGACAGCAGCTCTCCTCTGGGCCACAGAAGTCTGATCAGAGGATGAACTGGGGTGTTCGGTGTTTTCAAAAGCTTCATTCCCATCCGGAAAAGGAGCAGCTTTCTTCTCAGACAAACACACCCTTGTCTCATCCCGCTCAGTTGGGCTCTGGGGCAGCTGCTCTGGAAGGTCTGGGATTTCTGGAGGTGAGAAAGTCCCATCCTCCTCTGGGACTTCAGGATCTTCGCAGGTAGGGCCAAGCTGTACCAGCCGGTCTTCTTCCTTTGCATCACTGAGAGCCGGGCTGGCTGTAAGCCGCTCTCCCAAGGCACATTCTCCGGCCTTCTCGGCCACCGGGGCACTGGCTTCACTCACCCTGTTCTGCAAGCTGCAAGCTTCCTGCTTGCCCAACACAGCATCTCTAATCCCGGAGATGGACCCCTTCTCCTGCACAGGTGGTTTCCTGGCCATCCCAATGCCAGCATCAGCAGAAACAGATTGCCTCAGGAGTGGTTCCTCCTTCCCTTGCAATGGAGGTGGCTTGGCAAGGTGACCTTTGTCAGGAGCAAACGATGGTTCTTCAGGGCGGAAGGAGGCCCAACTGAAGAAGCTGAAGCTGGAGCTGTCTGGAAGCCCTTTCTTGGCAGTGAAGGGGATCTTGAACAAGCCTTCTGTCTCCGGACCTCTGGCCGTCTGAGAGGGTGCAGGGGCTGGAGCTGGGGCTGGGGCTGGGGCCGGGGCTTTCTTGGAGACAGGGAAAAGAGAGAAGATATCCCAGCTGCCGGTTGTCTCCTGAGACTTTGGAGGCGCAGCTTGGGACAAGCCAAAGGGGAGTCTAAACGCAGGTTCCTCGGGTGGCTGCCTGGCCTTCTCTGGCTGGACCTTACCAGGCAAGACTCCCTGCTGCCCATTGTCCATCAAGGAGGACCAACTGGTGCTCAGGGAACTGGACTTCCTTGCTGCCGAGTCCCCCAGCAACCCAGAGAGGCTCCTGAGCTGGCCTCCCTCTTCTGGGGGTGGGCTGCACCACCCCAACCCTGGACTTGTGTGTGAGTTAGCTGCCTGCTCAGCCTTTGCAGGAGGCGCTTCCTTGACACTGGCCGTTTCCTCTCCGGCCTTTTTCTGGGGCTCTTCCTTAGGGAAGAGGTCCTTCTTGGCCATACCTGCCCCAGGTGGCTCTGAAGAGACACCCACCTCAGAAGCAGGCTTCTTACTAGGTTCCTGAAGAAGTTCCTGGGATATTTGCCCGTTGCTCAGTGGTGGGACGGGGGTGTCAGACGGGGCGGGGGCTGGCTCCTTGGTGAAGAAGTCTTTGATCGAGCCAAAGAAGGAAGACGGAGCCCCCGGGAGCTCTGCCTGGCTCTGGGTTTCGTTTTTCACCTGATGGGGCTGAGAGGTTGGCCAAGGTTGCAATGGAGGCTTGCTTCCCTGCATTTTAAAGAAACTGAGTAATCCTGAATCTTCAGCAGCCGGTGGGTCTTCTCTGGGGCTACTTGTTTTGAGGTCACTCTTAGAAAGAGTCTCCTTGGCCTTAGTAGCTATTTGGCTCAGGACCGGCCAACTGTTTTCAGGTTCTCCCAGAGACCCTGGAACTGCCTTAGCATTGCTGTCTGGCTGGGCAAATGTGTCGGAAGTGAGACCCTGGCTGAACTGAGAGGCGGATCTGCGCAGGGGAGCCCTGTTCTGGGTGGGAGACGGAGCAACCGCAGCCCCTTCTCGTGCAGTGGGAACAGGCAGGGGTTCCAGCTGAGGTTCTCCCTTCTTCCTGGGTGGTGTTCTAGACATGGCTTCCTTTGCAGGAAACCTTGACTGTGGGCCCTGGTCCTTCTCTGCCACATCCTCCAGCATCTCATCCTTCCCCAAGCCCTGACCCATCAGCCCACCCAAGGCAGAAAGCCAAGAGGAGACCCTGTTGCTTGTGGTCTTCTTCTCTTCTTCGGCCATCTGTGCTTCGGCAAGAGACACTGGTGGGAGATCAGATTTGGCGGCAGCTCTAAAGATCTGAAAGCCAAAAGGTTTGGTTTGCTGGCTTTCAGAAATGCTAGTCCTAGGGGCCACATCCAGTGACTTGGGTTGGAATTCCTCCTTTAGCCCCCCGCCAGAGACCACCCTGAAATGTGCCCGGAGGTCAAAGGGCGCATCTTCTACAGACCCGTCCCTCTTCTCCTCAGGCCTAAAGCCCACCTTATTGGGTTTCAGAAGCCTGTACCCTGAGAAGTCTAAAGGCTTCTCTTTCTGGTGGTAAGCAGATTCCTCAAACATTTGAGAAAAGGTCTCTACGTTCATAAACTTGTCCCTTCTTTGAAAAGCTACAGACAAATCAAGAGGCTTGTTTACAAAATAATCATCCCACTCTTCCTCTTCAGCCGACCAGAATAACTCATCTTCAAGAGGCACTTTGAAGCCACAAATGGAAACCAGGTCCCGGTCCGTCACAACACTTTGCAAAGAGCCCTTGAGGTCACGGTCCTCCCAGCTGTCTGGATGAGGGTAAATGTCGGAAGTGCAGATGTAAATATACTGCCCGGTAGAATCAGTGAGTAGAGAATAAACATACTGGCCGTCAGTGTATACGTAGTAACCGTAATCACCGTCTTCTGACGGCCACCACACTCCCTGCAGCAGAGGCATCAGCCAATCCAGGGACTCCTGACAGGGCGCCAGCCAAGGGTCCTCCACATTCAGGGGCTCCTGATCAATTAGGGTCCACACATCAGCGCCATAAGCAGATGAATAACTTAAATCTATTGGCCCGTCTTCAAAAATGCAGTTGAACTTGTGTGGAGAAAGACTTCCGTTCAAATAAGGAGTTGCCCACATTTCATTTTCCCCCAGACAAAAGTCAGGTGATCTAAGCGACGCAGCATTAAAATCTGTTGTTGCTGGATCAAAATTCTCACTTGATCTCCAATCCATTGGATTGGCATTCCCATCCCTTTTACACAAATTCATTACCGTGTTGCTAGATTCTGACCAGGTCAGGACCTCATCCCAGGAGATGGGATTCTGGTTTAAGACGTAATAAAAAGGCATGGATGTCTGAACCGTCTTTGCTGGACAACTCCTGGGGTCGTAGTCACTATCCAAGGGGGAGCCACTCCTGATTTCCTCAGAAGCAGGAGGTTCTCCTAACCAGTTGAGCAAGTTGGCATTCCGTGAGGAACATCTGAGAAGTCCACCTACATTTTCATGGGGAATCCCTGGATGAATATGAGGTTCTGCATTTTTTCTAGAAAGGGCTGGCTTGGTTGATAAGTATGTCTTCTTCTGGGAATGGTTCAGAGAGGCAGATCCTGCCTGGAGGGCAACGGATTCCTTGCCTGTGCTAGGCAACCCGACCTCCATCTTGGGAGCTTGGGCCACTCTCTCTTCTACCTTCTCTTTCGCCTGGTGTAAGAGGTTCCTTAGGAAGCTGCCTGCGCCCTCTTGCTCCTTGGTGCCTTCTTGAGTTTGGAGTGCCACTTGAGAAGCCCCCTCTTTGGAATTAGTCTCCTCCACATTCTTTTCAAAGATCTGCCCCAAACCACCCAGAAAGCTCAGATTTGGCTTGTCCACCTTACCCGGAGATGGGTTTTCACCTGAACCGAATCTAAATAATCCAGAAAGCAAGCCAGGTGAACGGTCCTTCTGGCCGGCTGTGCTGTCTTGAGCATCTTGTCCTTCCTTGGAGGATAAACTGCCAGCCAGAGGAGAGTGGGGAAGTCCGGACAGGAAACCCTCCTGGGCATCACCCAGAATCTTAGTCCTTCCGACTCCACTAGTCGCCTCTGAGTTTTCCCCTGACGGATCCAGGCTGGATCTGTGACCTTGGGAGGTGGCCGTGGTTGCTGCTGCTGCTGCTTCTCTGCCTGCAACACCATTTAGATCATTATTGCTTGGGTCACTGTGGCCACGCCTGCCACTCTCGGCACTCTCTGAAGTGTCTGCAGCCACCTTCTCCTGAGGGCCACTTTCTGGTCCCAAAGGGCCAGTTTCCGGTTTCCCCTTCAGCTCCTCTTTATTCTCTGGTGGAGACTTTGAGGAGGAAGTCTGGAGACCCTCTGAATTGCTCCCCAAATGTCCCTCTTTGGGAGCCTCGGGGTTTTCAGCTGAAGCAATTTTCAAGAACGTAGAGAAGAATCCTGTTTTTTCCTTATTCTCCTGCGGTTTGTCTGATAAGCTGAAGCTGCTCAGGAAGGAAACCTGCAGCTTCTCAGGGAATGGGAAGGAGGCAGCTTTGCTGCTGGAGGAACTGGCTTTTCTGACATCGTCTTCGGACTTGCACTGTTTCCCCACACCCAAGGACGTCTCTTTGGCTGGAGGGTCAGCGGGAGTGGAAAGGGGCAAGAGGCTGAAGCATTTTTTAAGAGGACTAAAAAAACTGACGGGAGATTCTCTTTGTTCTGAAGGTTGGGGGATGCCCTCCTTTGGCCCTTCCTGCGGCTTGACTTCAGGAGGCTGAGCTGCTAAAGGCTCCGGAGGGATTTCCCGATCTGCCTTGTCCAGCTGCACTGAGGGGCAGGGGACTTCGGGAGACTCCGCTGGCCTCCTGGGAACAGCCACGCCCTCAAAACTCGTTTTCAGGCTAATGTCGGCAGAGGAGCTGGAGACGGAGGGTGCTGGACCCCTGGTGGGGTCAGCTGCTGGTTCCCCCTTCCTTGTTTCCAGGGAGGAGTTTCTGGGTTTAGTGCCATCTTCGCTAGGCTTCTCTCTGGCCTCAGCTCCACTTATGGGCAAGGGTTCAGCCTCTACAGGGGTTCCCTCTTTCGTGGTCTCTTTCTTTGGCTCCTTCTTTTCCGTCAAGGATTTTAAAGAACCGAACATACCCAAGACAGAATTCACAGCCGCACTTGTCTTCTGAAAGGCAGACTGGCCCTCGGCATCATCTGCAGGATGATCGAGGGCTGGGGGGCCCGGACAGGCCTTGTCATCCCCGTCAGAGACTTCTGGGAGACTCACACTGTCAGCACCAGCTAGTTTCACCCGGCTCTGATCAGGGAGGGAAGCCAGCCTTTCTTCAGGCAAGCGGAGATCAGGCCTGCTTTCCGTTTCCACATCCAGATGAGGCTGACTGGATGAGTCCCTTGCGGGGACATCTGCCGTCTCAGTCGCTGAAGACACAAACTTCTCCATGGATGACGCGAAGAGCGTCTTTCCAGAGCTCACTTTCTCGGTAAGGAAGCTGAAGAAGGACTGGGCTGTGTCTTTCACCCCCAGAATGTCCGATAAGGCCTCTCCTCGGCTGTCGCTCTTCTCTTCCTCCTCCTCTGCAGGGGCTGCCTTGGCCTGCTCTGCCTGGGCCGTCTCCTCCGCCACCTGGATGGGGAGGCCATGGTTCCTGCTTTCCTGCTTTGGAAGGGCTTCCCAGCTGCTAATCTCTTCCTCCTTTTCGGCCAGGTATTCAGACACCGTCTCCACCAAGCACTGCAGCTCGTCCACCGCACTGAGGTCTTGCTCCGGTGGCGCTTGAACAGGCAAGAAGGCCACGTGTTCCTTGAAAGAGCCACGCGTGGGCTCATACCAGCCATGGGCCATTTCCCCCTTCCCTTCCTCATCTGAAGCAGGAGAGCCCCCAAGATCTTCAGGCCAGCTGTTGCCTTCCAGTTCCTCAAGAGCTCCGGACGGTGGGAAACAACTGGCTGCCTCTTCTGGGTGCAGCTGACCTTCACCCCCAAAACGGCCTGGCTGAGGGTCGCAGTTTCTCTCTGGGCTGTCAGAGAACCAGCCGCTTTGGGCCAGGTGGGTGTTTCTGTATGGAAGCAAATCCCAACATCCAGGCTGCTGAGCCCCAACTTCCCGGAGGCTATGGCGGCTATAAAGATCAGCATCATCGTAACTGGTGTTACGTTCGGTTCTTACTCTCCTGCTGCTTCCAGAAATAACGGTTTCGTGGGGAATTCTCGACCTCCCATTGATTTGAGATCTTCTCCATTCACACTCTGTATTATCTCTCCGTTTCTTTTTCCTTCTCCTGTCTATAGTATCGTATTCCGCTGGATACGATAGGGCCTCGGGACGTGCTAATTCCACACAAACTTTATGAGAGGACCTGGAACTTTTCAGATGGCTACCGTTGCCCTGTTTGGAGAATCGAGGCCTCTTTACCTCCTGCCAATTCCTAGCTCTTTTTTCTAAAAAATCTTCTATCAGCTGTTTGCCTAGTTCGTCATAGTCCTCAACAGACTCTTCTCGGTCAAGATCGTGGTCAAAAGGAATAATCCTGACTTTCCCACTGCTAATTAAAGATCCTTGACTGGTAATGGAAAAAGGGGAAGAAAAAAAGAGGGGGGGGGAGGAAAGGCAAGAAAGATGGAAAAAGAACTTTAACATAACAGAAAAGGAATTTCACAAAGAATAAATACATGAATTTTATGAGCAAAAATAAACAAGTATGAAATAATTAAAAGATGTACAATTCTAACCTTGTTTAATGTTTAGAAAGCACCAATTTTATTACGATCATTTCTCAATACTGCAAAAGAAATGAGGAAAGAGCAGAAGATTTGAGGGCTGGATCCTTGGTGCCCTTTGGGGAAAAGATGGGAAGCCCCCGTAAATGGGAGGGTCTCCAGACCACGCAGGCCGATTGTCCTGGAGGATCCCCCAACCCTTTTCATCTGGGGCTGGCAGGATGAAAACAGCCCCTGCCACCCTCAGCGAGTTCCTTCTCTGTTACTAGGGGCAATTCCATCCCCGGCCAGGCTGGGGGGCAGGAGGGGGGGCCTCAGGACTCAGCGGAGCGACTGAGCAAGGCACGTGAGGCAAATATGGGATGTCCCTGATTTAGGACCAGTCATTTATTGATTGTTGGAAGTTCCGACAGACCTACCTGGGGGCTGCTTACGAACTGGATTCGAAGTTCCGATTGTCGTCTCTCCCCCCCACCCCCACTTTGGCCCCCTGGCAACCAGGCCACATTCAGACACTTGCAGCCTCAAGCACACACAAGAACACAATTATGACAGTTTTGCCAAGACAGAGCAGTTACTTCTGGTTTTTGGCCCCGACAGAGAACTAGTTCACTTAACAACAGCAGCCCTCGCTTAATGACTGCTGCAAAACAGGTGGCAAAATCGGGCTGGTCAAGGGGCTGCCCTGCTTTTCAGCCCCCAAGAATTACCACTGTAATGAGTAGGTCCCATTACAGCCGTAACTCGAGGAGACAGAATCATTTAATTAACAGAATAATTTAACAGAATAACCGCAGTGATGTATTACTTGGAAACGTTTATTAAATACAGCGGCATGTTAAAAGTGTCTATAAAAAAGAAGCTATCCCAGATCATGGCAGGAGTTTAAGGCGCATTCCAACCGCTCCCTGCCCGACTGGCTTGCTTGGACGGATGAAGCTGCTTGCAGGAGCAGAGAAGCCTCTCAGGCTAGCAACAAAAACCAGTCCAGTTGCAATGGCCGTTGGACGATCACAAATCAGTACCTAGAATGCACACTAACATATACTTGAATAGTGAAGCAGACTATTGATTACATTAAGCCTAAGACGAACAGCCCTCTGTGCACGAGGTTCTCTCACGCTCCTTATCATGAGCAGCCGAAAGGGAAATCGATGCAGGGCCCATCTCGGGAATTAAGGCCCCTACTTGAAGGGGTCATTCAGGGCCGGGCCACTTGGATCAGAAAGGCCAGGGTCAACTCGCCACGGCCAGCTCCCTATGAGACAATTCACCAATTCCATTCAACTATTTATGTTTAGGTTTATGTTTGTTTATGCTCATTAAACTTCTATACCGCCCTTCTCCCGAAGGACTCAGGGCGGTGTACAGCCATATTAAAACAAACATATACTCACAAAATTTAAAAACAATTTAAAATAAAGATATAAATTTGTTAAAAGTTACAAACACCCAATTTAAAATACATTTTTTAAAGCCAGCCCGGCCTGTTGGAACAAAAGAGTCTTAAGGGCACGGCGAAAGGTACGTAGGTCGGGGATCATGCGAACCTCCAGGGGCAGTTCATTCCAGAGGGCAGGTGCCCCCACAGAGAAGGCTCTCCCCCTGGGTGTCGCCAGTTCTTAACTTAAAACAGTTAAGAACTTATTTTAATTTTTGTCATTCACATTTCGCTTTGTCCCTCCTTCATGGAATCCTCTAATGATTCTATTCCACTATTTCTCCGAGTTTAGTGCAACTCTTGTCCTGCAGTTGAGTTGTCCAGTGGCGAGTTGTCGTAGACCCCCTGGGACCCCACCCTTAGCGATCATCCACTGGATTGTCCCCAAGACAGGACCCCGCAGGGGCAGCACTGTTCCACGGGCAGCCTTTCCACAGAACAAGGAGGCCATGCAGCAGCAGGGACCGCTCAGGACCCGCCACCATCCCGCCCCACCAAGTGCAGCCGGCATGCCACGGCACACGACACACGACACGGAAGCTGCTGCTGCTGCTGCTGTGGCAGCGCCACCCACCTATCCGACATCTCTAAGGAGTGCCGGCTTTCTAGGGACAGCTGGCGACTGGTCACTTGGCTGGAATGCGATCCGGATTCCAGGTCGGTCCGGCCACTCCCAGTCGAGTCTACGCTGCCGTGTCTTCTTCAGAAGGCCGGGCCGAGGTGGGGACAAGAAGCAGAGAAAGCAGCACAGGAAGTTGAGAGAGCCCGGGGGCTGCATCACGGGATGGCAACGTTAACTGTGGGGCAGGCCAGCTGCGCAGGGTGGCCCTCAAGGCACCCAACACACCCCGAAGCCAGTCGGGGACCAGACTGGGGCCCTTGAGGGGTGTGGAATGAGAGTGTGGCAATGGCGCTCTCTCTCTCTCTCTCTCCCCCTTGCCCAGTGAGGTTCACATCCAGAGGATGCTGTTGAGTGAAGCTTCTCTCCTCCTTTCGGACTTTCCACCCTTTGGAATGAGCATTCGCTCCCTTTGATGTCTATGGGGATTTTCCTGGTGGCCCCACAGGTGCTTTTTCCAAAAGGCAACTGGACTTTCTTTTTCCTTTAAAGCATTTTGCTGCTTCTTATCCAAGAAGCTTCCTCAGTTCTGACTGAATGGTGGAGGATGGAAGGGCTTCTATTCCTGGCAGTCCTCTGGTCCTTAGCCCTCTTTCTGAGAATCATTGAGGCCACTTGGGGCTTCATCTGTGGCCTCAGGGTCACCTGGATCAGAGTGCAAAGGGGTGGGGTGGGGCCCTCCTGGAACCCCTGAAAGGACCGTGTTGTAGACAGGAGGCGGCTGGTGTCCTATTCCCGGATCTGCGCACCTTCCGTCGCGCTCTCAAGACTTTTTTATTCCATCAAGCCGGCCTGACCTAAATCTTTCCCCTTTAAAATGTAAATTTTAATTTGTTTTAAAATTATTGGGTGTTTTAAATTTGTCTTGGCCAAATTGTTTAATTCGGTTTTATTCTGTTTTTAAATTTTGTATTTATGTGTTTTATTCTGTGGCTGTTCACCGCCCTGAGTCCTTCGGGAGTAGGGCGGTATACAAAATCCAATAAATGAAATGAAAATGAAATGAAATTCCTCTCTCAACAGATTTGCACTCTGATTCAGGTGACCCTGAGGGCAGAGATGAAGCCCCAAGTGGCCTCAAAGACTCTCAAGAGAGGGAACGACCAACCTCCAGAGTCCTGAAGACCAGATGACTGCAACGGATCTAAATCCTTCCATTCCCCACCAGTCAACCAGAACTGAAGAAGCTTCTTGCAGGAGAAGTGAAACGTTTTCAAAGGGGGAAAAAACCCCCAAGAAAGTCCAGTTGCCTTTTGAAAAAATGACCTTTGGGATTCGCTCTGCTTCCATTTGAGGCAGGGGACCAAGCTTGGGAGGTGGGCTGCCCAGGGCTGGTCTTCCTAGAGTCAAATCAAAGAAGCCATTATTGAGCTAAAGGCACTCAAAGCCAGCCTCCGTCCACAAAGGGTCGTCGGGAGACTGAAACGTGGCTCCAGAGTCCTTCTGAAATGCCCAAGTCATGGAGGCTGCAAAGGAAGGTTCTGGAATTCCCACATTTTCTGCAAAGCAGATCCCACCCAAGATAAAATCTGTGCTCCTCAAACTGATTGGTTGTAAATATATGCTAAGCGCGAACATTATTTCAACATTCTCCCTAACTGGACGCTTGCATGTTACTGAAACGGGAACTGCCCTAACAAAATATATGGAAGGGAACGTCTCCTCTTCTTCCTCACCCTCCAAGCCCCCAAACGCCAGGGGTTATGGGGCTCCTGAGCAATACGACTGGGCTCCCCTTCTGCAAGAGGAGGAGGAGGGAAGCTCACAAAAGGAAAAAATACCCACCCGCAGTTTGCCGATACCACTCTGGGGAAGAAACATTTGGCCCCAAGAATGTCCTTCGTGTCCGTTCATCGCCCAACAAAATGTCCTCCTCCTGCCAGATCACTTGCCCCAGGATACAGGTAGTCCTCGACTTATGACAATTGGCCCCCAAATTTAAATTGCTAGGTGAGAAATTTGTTAAGTGAGTTTTGCCCCCGTTTACGACTTCCCGTGCCACAGTTGTTAAGTGAATAACTGCAGCTGTCAAATTAGTAATCCCGTTGTTAAGTGAATCTGGCTTCCCCTTTGACTTTGCTGGTCAGAAGGTCGCAAGCAGGGATCATGTGACTCCGGGACACCATGACCGCCATAAATGATTCAGTTGCCAAGCATCTGAATTTTGATTATGTCACTGTGGGGATGCTGCAACAGTCGTTCAGTGTGAAAAATGGTCATAAGTCACTTTATTCAGTGCCGTTGGAACTTGAACGGTCACTAAGCGAACTGCTGTAAGTCGAGGACTCCCTGTATTAGGCAAGCGAATCCCTGCCGTGAGACAGAAGTGCCCCCGGGGGCTGCTGGTGGGGTGGGCAGCCTGGCCTCCAAGAGCACCCACCTCATGCCAGTCTGCTCGTCCGAGGCGTACCCCCGGAGGGGCTCCACGCAGACCCCCTGCTGCTGCAGACGGGAAGCCCCCCGGAACTGGTGGGCCGAAGCGTTGGGCTGGGAGGTGGTGCAGTAGGCAGGGGGGAGGCTGGCGCTGGTTTCGCTGCGGTAGTCGCTGTCCCGGTCGTCCACGGCGCTCTCGTGGCCTTCCGAAGCTGCGAGACACGAGATGCTGCGTCACGGGCAGGGCCTTCCTTGGGTTCAACTCAATATGGGGGGGGGGCAGGGACACACACACACACGCATGCACACACACACACACACACACACAGACACACACACACATCCAACCGGTGAAGCATTTCACCCCTCGATTATCTGGAGAAGGCAAAGGCGGGGGTGGCTTTATTCTGAGTGAAAAGTGGGGTACGGCAGAGGGGCTGCTGGGCCGACTTTATGTGCGGAAGGAGAAGCAGGTTGCAGTGCAGGGCCTTCACCTGGCTCCCTTCCTCTCTGGAGGTCTTCAGCCCCCTTGTACCACCAGGATGGCCCACTGGCCCCACCCCAGGGCAGCTCTGGCCAGGGAAGCAGGGGGGGCGAGGGGGGAAAGTCTGCCTGCAACCCCCAGCATTTCAGTTCTGAGATCTCCTGGAAGGGGCAAGGGGGGGTGCCTTAAGCCCCATAGGGAGGGGGGTTGCCAAACAGGGATCCCTCAGGCAGCCCCACTTCTGGGGTGGGGGGAGGAGGAGGCGGCCAGAGAAGAACCCGAAATGAGCCCAGCCTTTCCTCTTCCCAAGCAGGGAACGGCCATATGTTCCGGATCATTTCAGGTCCGGGATGGGGAGCGGCCCAGAGCCACCTGCCTGGCTCAGGGGAGACTTTGGGGAGCGTGAAGCGTTTGGTCCCTTCCCCTCCATCTCGCAGGCTGGGGCCAGCCCCCCCCCTTTCTGCCTCCTTGGCCTTAAGCAGGCTAAAACAATGTTTGGGTAGAAGTTCTCCGTTAGTTCCACGCAGAGGAGAGAAGTGGCGCTCCTAGCATTTTCTCTGCCTCCCTTGACTGATTTAATTCCATGCTTCGTGGCCTCCCTGAGGAAGAGAGGCGTCCTGATACGGAATTCAAAGGCAGGCGGGAGGCGGCTGACTTCAAAGGGTCCCGCAAAGGAATTTGATTGTCCACACTGCGGAGGGGGGCAGCACTTTTAATGAGCTCCCCACCGGAGGGGCCAATTTCACTGCCTAGAAGTCTCCAGCTTTACACAAAGGGAATTATTTCTTATACATGAAGGCAGCTCCTTCCAGCAAGAATATCATTACTGCATGAATATTTTTACGGGCCTCGCTTCCCTCCCCCCAAATGCAAACTCTTCAAATGCGTGAATGAAGAGCCCCTGAGCGGATCCCAAATTGAGGTCACACACACACACACAGTCACATGAAGCCTTTCTTTTATCAGGTGGATGGAGAGTGAGACAGTCCCAGAGAAGGCCCCACCACTTTGGAGAGGGTCACTAAAAGGCCATCTGGTCCAGCCTCTGCTCAGGGTGGGAATCTCTCTTGACGAGGGCTGTCCCTCTAGCCTCAGCAAAGGGGGCCCCACCATCTTTCCAGGCCAGGCCTCCCCTTGGCAAAATGTTCTTGCGTTTGGGTGGTTTTCCCAACGTTCCCTCAAATTTGCTTCCTGCATCTTAAATGCATGATTTTACGTCCCCAGTCAGGGTTGTTGCGAGAAAAGTTCTCGTCTATCCCTTCCTATGATATCCTTCAAGGCATTTCAAACATTATTTTATTTCCTGTTAGGCATTTCCTCTGGAGCAGGATGTGTCCAACCTTGGCAACTTTTAAGACCCTGCACTTCAACTCCCGGAATTCCCCAGTAGGCTATGCTTCTTAGCTATGCTGGCTAGGGAATTCTGGGGGCTGAAGTCCATGAAATTGGGTCTTGCTTTAACCAAGAATTGCAGCTAGCACTTTGTGCCAGTCTCATATTGCTGGCTCGCGGTTCAATCTGCAATCAATTCCTAATACATTTTCTCCCATCTCCCATCAACAACCTTGGTATTCCCCTCTCTTTATCTATACATTTCTTTTCCCCAAGTGAAATGCTTTGCGCATTTCCGTTAAGATTTCATGTTACCTTTTTCAGTTCATTTCTCTATTCACTCAAGATCATTTAGAGACTCATCTAAAAGCTCAGACTGTGGAAAGAGTGCAGAGAAGAGCAACGAAGAGGATTGGGGGACTGGAGGCTAAAACATAGGAAGAACAGTTGCAGGAATTGGGTACATTTGGTTTGATGACAACAAGGACAGGGGAGACAGGATAACAGTCTTCCAATATCTCAGGGGTTGCCACAAAGAAGAGGGAGTCAAGCTATTCTCCAAAGCACCAGAAGGCAGGAGAAGAAGAAAAAAAGGATAGAAACTAATCCAGGAGAGAAGCAACCTAGAACTAAGGAGAAATTTCCTGACAGTTAGAACAACTAGCCAGTGGAATAGCTTGCCTTCACAAGTTGTGAGTGCTCCATCACTGGAAGTTTCTAAGAAGAGATTGGATAACCGTTTGTCTGAAATGGTGCAGGGCAGTAATGGCTAACCTTTTGCTGTCGCGTGCCAAAAGCGGGGGGTGGGGGTGCGTGCGTGCGTGCATGTGCCCACACCCATAATTCAATGTGCATGCACATGCCGCCACCACCACCCGCGCTCCCCCCCCCCGCTTTTGGCACGCGATGGCACTGTGGGCCCGGTAGGCCTGTTTTTTGCCCTCCCTCGGCTCCAGGGGCTTTCTAGGAGCCTGGGGAGGGCAAAAACAGTTTTCCCCCCCCCCCCGAGGCTCTCCGGAGGCCAGAAATGGCCCGTTTCCTGACATCTGGTGGGACCAGAAGGCCCGTTTTTTGCTCTCCCCAGGCTCCAGAGGCTTTCTAGGAGCCTGGGAAGGGCGCAAACGGCTTTCCCCACCCCCCTGGAGACCATCCGGAGGCAAGAAACGGCCAATTTCCTGACTTCCGGTGGGCCCGAAAGGCCTGAAAATCAGCTGGCTGGTGCACACATGCGCACTGGAGGTGAGCTAGGGCAATGCTCGCGTGCCCACAGATATGGCTCCGCGTGCCATAGGTTCGCCATCACGGATGTAGGGCCTCCTGCCAGAGAAGGAGGTTGGACTAGAAGACCTCTGAGGTCCCTTCCAGCTCTGTTATTCTGTTCTGTTCTATTTTGGTTGCAGGGGATAGGCTAACCCACTCAAATCTGTGCCATCTGTGGGGCTGGTAAGCATTCCCTATGCCCATCCCAATCA